GTAGGACAGTTTCAATTATTAGTACATTGCATATTGTTGTCTTCATCGTGGTTATTCATAGTGCAAGATGCAGACATGATATCCTGTCTAAACACTATTAGTGCAAACATTTCTTCTCATTGAATTAAGAAAAAGTAGCTGTATATCTATCCTAACTATGTTGTATATACAGATACAAAATGGTCCTTCATTTTTATCACCTTTTTTTGTTTAGTTTTGTCAGAGATGGGTATTCCATTGCCATTTAAATATTGTAGGTGCATGAATTCAGCAAAATACTCCCATATAGTCCAGTAGTCCATAATAGTAGTGGGTTATCCATAGGACTGGCAATGTCAGAAGTTGTTGATTTGAGCCTTTTACAGCTCAACATTAATATGGTTTTACTTTTTATACATCATTTTTATACTTTTCTGCTAGATGGTTAAGACCAAGATAAAGCAAGACCTATATAACAAGAAATGTAAGTTAATGTGATAGATTCTTGATCTAGTGCTGGGATTGCAGGTGTGAGTGCTACACTCTCGCCCTGGGGTGGGGAATCTGAATTAAAATGTAAGGAGGGGAGAGAGGCTAGCTAGCTGCCAGAGCTGCTGCACCGCCCTTTGTTCCTTGCTCTTTGCTACCACCATGAATGGTTGTTTTCTGCCATGTGCCGCTCTGCCTTGGAGCCAGCTGAGTATGGACTGAAACCTCCACTAACTGTGAGCTAATTAAAACCTTTCCTTCCTTAATTTGGGGTGTTGGGTAGTTTGTCCCAGCGATGAGAGAAAAGTAACTAAGACAACACTTATATCTGGTAATCTGAGCAATTACTTTGAAGATAACAATATGCAATATGTTAACCATTGTTAATCTCCAATTATTGTGTTTTGAAATTCTGCATTACTGTTTCTATTTTTTTATTTTTTTTAAATTTTTTTTATTTTTTATTTTTTTTACATTTATTTATTGTGTGTGTGTGTGTGTGTGTGTGTGGCCAGCTCAGCCCACCAGGGGGCGCGACTGGCTGGCATGTGGTGCTGGGGGATCGAACCGCGGTCCCTGTGCTTTTCCAAGCTTGTTCCAAATAGGTGCTTTAGACCACTGAGCCATCTCTCCAGCCCCATCTATTTTTTTAAATAATAAAATAAAATAGTATTCAAAATATGAAACAACAGTGCTTCCAACAAAAAAGAATGCAAGACCTCCTTCTAAAACAGCAGAACATTATTGAAAGGAAGAAACCCTGAATTGATGGAAGAACAGACCACATTCAAGAATTGAAAGATGACATTTCTGTCAAGTTACTCTTAGAGGTTTAGTTCAATCCCAATAAAAATTCTAGTAGTTTTTTGGTAGAAATCAATTTTTTATGGTGGTACAGAGGGCTGAATATACCCTCTGATTCCACTGAAAATGAAGAACAAAGTTCGAAGACTTCACTGAAAGATTTTTTTTCTTTTTTTAAATTAATTTTTTGAGACAGGTTCTTGCCCCAGCTAGCCTTGAATTCAGGGAAATCCTCCTACCTAAACCTCCTGAGTGTTGAGATTACAGGTGTGCAGCACCACGCCTAGCCCTCACTGGAAGTTTAGATAAAAATTAAAACAGCAGAGTATTTAAGGCAGTGTGAAGGTGGGTAATAGACCAGAGGAACAGGTCAGAGTCCAGTCGAGACCCAGATGCAGAGTTACTTCATTTAGGACTAAAGTGACACTGCAGAAAATTGAGGAAGAGAAGGGATTTTTGGTAAGGTGTGCTGCAAAAAGTGAAATGGACATTTCGTAACAATATGCTCATCTAAAATCCTCTAGAATTTATTACAGAGAAATAGGTCATGACCTGGAGGTAGGGTAAGATTTCTTAATACATATGAAGTTCTCACTATACAAGAAATGGTTGATAAATTGGGCTATAGAAAATTTTTAAAAACCAAAATTATGTGGGTTAAGTATGCAAAGACAGGCCATAGAGAAGTGCACAAATTGATAAAGAGCTTTTATTGGTCATGTGTAAGAAATCTTACGAATACTAATGAAAAGGAGATATATCAATATGAAAATGTGCAAGAGATGTAACTAGGTATTTTGCAAAAAGATATTCAAATGCCAAGCAAAGTAACTTATATAAAAATGTCAAATCCAGTAGTAATCAGGGAAGTGCAATTAAAGTCACAACAACTCACTACTACACACCTATGACATGTAAAATGTAAGAAGGGCTGGAGAGGTAGCTCTGCAGTCTAAGCGCCTGCCTGGCAAGTTCAGGGATCTGGGTTCGAAACTGGGCATGGAGGCACCCTGTACTAAATAAATAAATAAAAGATTTTTTTAAAGATTTAAAAGCTAAAAGACTGGCAGAGCCTTCAGAATGGGCAGGCACTGTGTGTGGCACTTAAATTTGTGTCATTCAGTAGTATTCCCTGAAGTTGAATTATACCTACCTTATGGCCCCACGTTTCCTCCCCAGATTCATTACCCTTCTCCCTCCCCCTGTAGTAATAGCGTGCGTGCCGTGTGACCAGTGAATGTGGTGAATGTGGCCACCACGTACCATCCAGGGGAAAGCCAGGGGTCTTGCATCCCAGAAGTGGCACGCAGAACTTCACTGTTATGCATGGCAAGTTTCAGCTGTGGTTTTGTTCAGAAAGCGTGTTCACAGCAGATTGGAACGTGAGGTGACTGAGTGCAGAATTTGTGCCACACATTTTGACTGTCAGACAAAAGCAACACGGTCTGCCAGTTTCATTGGGGTTGTGTGGTTGGGCCATATAAGCTTCTGGCTCTTTAAGAAACATCAAGCCATGAAATTGAGGTCTGTAGTTAGGATCCTGAGACCAGGCTTGGCTCAGTGTTCTCCATGGAAACCATCTAGTTCTTGTGCAGAACAAGGCTTCTCAATCAAGATCTGGCCTGTACTGTGTTCTAATCTTGATGGAATTGTGTGAATTGGGTCTGTACCCAGGAATATTGCCAGGACTCGGAATATTGTGAGGGCTCATTGGAGCATTTAATGCACAAAGGAAATGCCCTAAGAAATGGGCAAATGGTTTGCCCTTTATCGTGATAACGCTCTAGTGTCGCATTGCCACTGGAACTGTCAAAAGTATTATGTGGCTTGTCCTTAGCAGATGTGGCACCATGGGGCTCTGCTCTTCCCCAAAGTCAAAATTACCACAAAAGGTAAATGTTTAGAATTGGTTCAAGACATCAAGACAGCCACAAAGTCAGGCATTCTGTGCCAGAGGAAGGGTTTGGACCTTGGACAAGATGGGACTTCCTCACAGGACCTTGAACAGAGGACAGACAAGTGTAGAGCATGTGGTTATCCCGGGGCTTTGCAGAGAGATGAGCTAAGAGGCGACCAAACACAGCCTGGCGTGGTACTGACTTGTGGCAGGTGATGTGCGGTCATATGATTGCACATGGGCCGCGGGCGGGTGCTGGCGTCAGGACCAGTGAAGGCTGTTGGTTTGTTCACCTGGATAGGTAGGTCTGCCCCATCTTGAGATGGGAAGGCTCCAGCAGGAGGTGGGTTTTGGGCAGGTTAGGTGTAAGATACCTGTTCAGCACTAAGTGGTGGTAGCCTCAGGCATTTGGGAGTAGATACAAATGCAGAACTTGTCATCGCATAGATTTAATGTCATCGCCCTTGGAAAGAAGTCCAAAGGCCTGGACATGGCGATACAAAGAGGGCAGGTGGTTGTATAGGAAGAACACACAAGAGAAGAAGTGTCAAGAAAAAAATGAGTTCAGACACTGGGCCAGTTATCTTCCTGGTCTCTCAGCTCCAAAATCCCTTTGCCACTTTGGGACGCTGACAGTGCTCTGCATCACCACTGTCCAGGGGCCAGCTGGCTCTGCATGCCCCTCCTGAGGATTCCCACGCCCTCTTCCAGAGGGCCTTTCTCCTTAGAAGGCTGTTTAGGATCCTAGCAGTGCAACCCAGAGCACATTTCTTTGGTAGCCTTGCCCTGTCCCCAGAGGGTTGGTCTTAAGGTAGGGGCACAGGCTGTTGTAACCTGAGGGAGGTGGACACTCTCAAACTGAATCACAAGGACCATAGAGGGGAGGGAGTAATGCCCACCGATCTCTATTATGGGTTCAGCACCTTAGCCTGTGCCTTTTATTTTTATTTTTTATTTTTTTTTTTTCAGAACCGGGGATTGAACTCAGGCCCTTGTGCTTGCCAGGGAAGCATTTGTTCCACTGAGCCATCTCCCCGGCTCCAGCCTGTGCCTTTTAAAGGGTCTTGATACCCATTTGTTTTCCTGGAAATGGTAGCATATAAGAGGGTAAAAATGGAAGAGAGACATAATGCCAAACATTTACTGTATGTATATGAGATGCCGTGCTCCGCCTAACTGCTTTGTGTCGGTGCTGGGCACAGTTGTATAAGGAAGCCACTCCATGTTAGTCATGTGGAAAGGGAAGCTAGCAAAGCTCACGGAGCTTACAGAGCTCAGGACGCTACTAGGGTAGTAGATAGTGGAGTCAGGACTCAAGCTCAGATCTGTGTTTCCAAAGCCCAGTTCCTCCACTATCTCATACTACTTTATCAGCAGAGCCAGGAATTGAACTCAGGCCCCTCCGCTTGCCAGGCAAGCACTTGTTCCACTGAGCCATCTCCCCGGCCTTCTCATACTACTTTAAATTGAACCTGAAGTTCAAGAAAACTGCAATTTTAAATTTCAAACTCTTTTTCTTAGGTAGAACAGGCACTTTATTAAGAAAATTCCTGGGCCGGGAGATAGCAGTTTAAGCACCTGCCTGGCAAATGTAAGGTCCTGAGTTTAGTCTCCAGTACCTAAACAAAACAAAGCAAAACCTCAGAAAAATACCCCTAAGGAAATTCCTGTATTGACTTGGGGAGGTTTTTAGAGAATAACATCGTCTTTCCTGACTACATTACGATGCGTTTTTGTGGGGTTGAGAATTTTAAAATGAATCAAACATAGATACAGTCACATCATAAATTCAGATCTTAAGTTAATATTTCATACTATTTTTTTCTCCCAGATATTGAAATACTTCGTGAGACATTTGGTAACATTGAATCAAAGGACCAGAGGCTGCAGAAAGTTAAAGTCATTCTGCTGCTGCCTCGCTGTTCAGGAGTGGGTGTTAGTAATCCAGTGGAATTTATTTTAAATGAGTATGAAGGTACTTGTTTTAATTTCTAAATTATTACAATCAATTGAGTATAGCCATTCAGTTTGTGGAAAATAAATTTTATTCTCTTTTGTGCATTTGTCTTTAGATTGATTGCATTTATTCTTATATGCCTAAATGACTGACATGGCTACGTGGATGACTCTTTCATAAATACTTGAAAGAAGAAAATTAACATTAAATATTTTCTGTGTTATTTTTGGAAAACAGTACAACTAATAATTAATTTTATTAATTTTAAATCAACATTTTAGTATCTATTTTTTTTAATTTTATTTATTTGTTTATTTGTGTGTGTGTGTGTGTGTGTGTGTGTGTGGCCAGTTCAGCCCACCAGGGGGCGGGGCTGGCTGGCATGTGGTGCTGGGGGATTGAACCGTGGGTCCCTGTGCTTTGCTAAGCTTGTTCTAAGTAGGTGCTTTAGACCACTGAGCCATCTCACCAGCCCTATCTATTTTGTTTTGATAGGTATTTTTCCATGAATATTGATCAAAGGCAAAGCAATAGAAAAAGTAACATGAAAATAGTAAAAAGTACTTCATAAGAATATATTTAAAGATATTTATTTACTTTTAAAAATTTAGATACAGACTTACTTAAAGATCTCTCGCAAGGAGGCACATCCGAAGAGAAGCTTCAGGTTCTAGTTCAACAGCAGTATGAGCAGCTGACACATGCAATGAAATGTAAGTTTATCATTAGTACAGTGTTGTTAAAATGCAGTGTTAATCTTAGAAACATGAATATTTTATTTACTATATCAAAGCAGTGAAGTGAGAACCATAATCAAATTTTCCAGAATATTCAGTGTTAGTACCTTCACATAACAAATTTTTTTAATCTACTTAATATAAGTCTTTAAAGATATATGTGTGATCATCTTAAACACAGATTAGCTAGCCTAAGTGAATTTTCTTCATGCTGAGGCAAAGTGGTTATGCACATCTGTAATTGTACATCTTCGTCTTTCTGGTTTCTGCCTTCTTACTTGCTGTAATTCTTCTGTCGCCATTGTGCCTACTTCTCCGAGCTCTTCCACAGTCCAAGCTGTAATCCAGCTCATATCTCTCAGTGCTGAGCTGAGAAAGGAAAGGTGTAACTGCAGAGAAAGTCTTGCTCTCTTGACTTGAAGTTTGAATAACAAGGCTCTTGAAGGATGACTTGAGTCAGTGCTTCGGTCACTCCAGTTAGATTGGAGCACCTCTTAGATTTTGAGTAACACTGCCTTTCTAGGAGTGGGCGAAATCTAGAAGTCTCTGAAGAATTAATCAACTTTCATTTAGTTCCAAGTATGTTTACCAAGTGCCTGCTCTGGGTTGGATCTTAAGCTGGTGTTAGGTTGATGGACATGAATTAATCCTGCCACAGGCTGCAGGATAAAGCCGTGGATGTAGATAATTCCATACATGAAGGTCCACATGAGTAGAAATACAGCACTCTAGCACAAAGGAAGTCTGCCCTTTTTTGGTTGATGTTGCTGCTGCAGTAATTTGACTGTGGTAGCATGTACATGAGCTATTGAAGTAAATTGGCCAGAAGATCTGGAAGTTAGTAACATTTCTGTTAGTACATGTTTGCAATACATAGTGAATACCTTTATCCTGGAGAGCTGGTATGGTACATCAACATATCCCACTTTGTTGCTTTTTTACTTCCTTTTCCTCTTCTCTCTTTTCCTAGATTCCCTTCCCATCAATGGAAAGATTTCCCTCCCTGTTTCCTATCATCTGTCTTTTATTTTGCTCTTTGAATTATTTATATTTTGGGTTTCTCATTTAAGAAAAACCATGCAATATTTAAGTTAACATTTTTTGGGCTGGGGAGATGGCTCAGTGGAATAAGTGCTTCCCTGGCAAGCGCAAGGGCCTGAGTTCAATCCCTGCTTCTGCCAAAAAAAAAAAAAAAATAAATAAACATTTTATGTTGTGCATTTTAATTAAATTTTAATTGAATATTTAACACTTAAGAAAGCCCTCAGAAGGAATTATAAAAAGCAAAAGGATTTAATGATGTAAGCTCTTTCATGATGCTGATAAACACAGTATTTGGCAGCCTATGAGAGAAGGATAGTTTACTGGAAAACATATTGTAAATCAAGTTGTAAACATAAAACCATGTTAGCTAAAGTGCCTGTTTTGATATAAATGACTGAAAGCTCAAAAGTTTGAAGTTAACCATTTAAAGGATAATTATTCTCAGTCTTATAAGTCATTGTGAAAATAACTTAAAATATTTGAACATTGGTGATCTCTTATTATTTGCTGGGCACCTATTACTGTATTTATATTATTATTTGGTTGAATCCTTATGAAATCATCCTTTTTAGCATCGCTTGCATTCTTTGACCACAGTAACAAGAGGGCCCAGGCTCCCTAATTCCTTTCCCTGCTAAATCTCACAGCTGTAGCTCTATAGTACAAATTTATCAGAAACACTTCTCTAAAATCATGGAAAACACCTCTTAAGATCACTGGAAACACTACTCTAAAATCACCAAACATGCCTCTCTAGCTTCTTTATCCCATGAAAGCAGGTGGCTGAAGGAGCCCTGACCCTGGGCCTTCTCATCTCCTGCACTCAGGTCCCCATGCTTCTTTTGAGAGAGCTTGTCTTTCATCATCTTCCATCCTGTGTGCTCCAGAGCTCCAGAATTCATAGCCCCTTTGGTGCATTGTGAACTCCGAAAGGCTTGCGTGACCCTACCCCTGTGGCACGTCTGGTAGTCAGAGCTCCCATGGCCTCTCTCTTAGGCCTGCTTTGCTCCCTCCATGCAGCTTTCCTTAGACGATCCATAATCCTGGCTTTTCCAAACTTCTGTGTTCTTCCATAGCACTTTAGGCTTCATACACTTATAGCTTCAGTCACTGCCCTGTCTGAGGCACACTGCCTGGCCTCACAGGCCTTCTGAAATCAAGGTGGAAGCCTTTTTAGTGCCATAATTCTTGCATTCGGCTTGCATCTTAAACCAGTACCACATGGACGATCCAGGGTCAGCTGCCAGCTGGAGCAGTAGCCAGGCTTTCTTCTCTCTTAATTGTAGGGGTTGAATGCCTGGATCACTGGGCACTCTGCATCCTCTTTTGACTAACACATTTTCTTTTCTTTCTTCTTTCTTTTATTTAATGTATTTGATACAGGGTCACTGTGCAGCTCAGACTCCTAGTGATCATCCTGTTTTCAGCCTCCTCAGTGCTGGGATTACAGGCATATGTTACCACACCTGGCCTCAGTGGCAATCCCAGCATGCCCAGGGACGGGGCTGGCATGGCATGTGGTGCTGGAGATCGACCCCCAGTCCCTGAGCTTGCCTAAGCAGGTGCTCAGTCTGCTGAGCTGTCGCACCAGCCCAAGTAACACATTTTCTATACTGTCTCCACTCTGGAACCTGGTGCGGCTGCTGCCTTTCTTTCTACGTTCCATACAGAACGTAGTGCTGTATGGCTTTCTTTTCAAAGCAAAGTCTTTCACTTTTGAAGTTTGGAGGCTGCAAAGGGGGCACAGTTGTTGCCTCCAGTGATGCCCTGAGGTCATCTTTTCTCTTCTCTTGTTCCTTCTCAGCAGCGGAGCTCTCCTCAGCTCCATCTTTGGTTACTTTTCTCTTGTTGCTGAGTCAAAATATCCAACACTCAAAATTAAGGAAGAAAAGGGTTATTTTGCTCATAGTTTGTGGGGATTTCAGTTCATAATCAGCTGGCTCCAAGGCAGGATGACATGGCACAGGGCAACACTTCAAGGTGCAGAAGACAGCAAAAGCAGCTAGAGCAAAAGGGGGAGGGAGATAAAGCCTCTTTCCCGCCCTTGTATTGTACATAGGCCACCACTCCCTAGGGCGGGGGTAGTGCTCACAGTCTCCTGCCCTCCTCTTGCACAGGATGAGGATGTTTACAAAGTAAGGACCCTGGCCCCCTGCTGAGTTTTTAAACTTCTAAATGTCTCAGGTTGACAAAAATGTGTCATCCATCACACCCCTATAACTTGATTTTTCCCTGAGAACAGTTTTCCTCTAAATTTTTCCTCTTTAAAAAAAAATCTGTTAACCCACAACACTTTCATTCTTGCCAGTATGCTGAGCTGGTCTCTGGCGGATCCCCTGTGACCCTGGGTAGTCCTGTTACCACCACTGGCTGATCTCATGGGACTAGTCGTCTTTGTTGTGATGGACCACACCCCCTTCCTTCCTTCTCCCCTTGCGCCATCTCCTGGAATGCCATCTCACTTGCTTTCCTCTTCTTGTGTTGCCAGGTCTTCCTGACCTTGGCGCCACTTTCCCATTACAGTGCACCACGGCTCATGCCTTGGACGTTTTTTCTGTCCATACTCAACTCCCTTAGCGATTTCATCCAGCCTACAGTTTTAACCTCATACATTTACACATCCACGCAACTCTCGACCTATGTCTCCAGCACCTTCCCAACATCTTTGGCTAGTGACTAGCAGGGCATCTCAGAGCTCACAGGTCCAAAGTGGGAATCCTGATCTACCACCTGTCCCTCTTGCACTCTTCCATTTTCATTAATTCCAATATTGCCTTCACTTGCTTAAGTGAAGAATCCCACGCATTGTCCATCGCAGGTTGTCAGGAGCACCACCACCTTCTGCTGTCAGTGCGCTGCCCACACCGTTGTCTCGAAGCAGATTGCTGCAGTGGCCTTCTGACTTGTCTGTCGGCTTCCACCTTGTTCCCTGCTTCCTGTCCATTCTCAACAGGGCATTTGGAGTGATGTTAAAACCAGTGGTTACCCACTTTCATGCAAAAGCCACAGCTGCTCATTTTGTGGCCTCCACAGCCCTGAACTCTCCGGGCTCATCCCCTGCTTTCTAACCTTATCTGCCCTCCTTTCCTCAGGTCTCCTCTGAAACACTCTGCACCATCACGCCCACCCTGCACCGGCACCTACTTTTCCCATGTGTTTGTGCCTTAATGTCTTTGTGCCAGGCTAGCAAATGTGCTCCATGTGGCAGGGAGTTTCGTCTTGTTGCTCACCCATGTGACCCACACCCTGGGGCAGCACCTGTCTGGTGCTCAGTACAGTGAGCAAATACATGAGTTCCAGGTCTTGGTGATACCTCATTTTGCAGACCAATGATTTGGAACTGTGAGTAATTTTGCAAGGTTCACACAGCATTGAAGAACAGTCTTTAAACCAATTAGATGATGAAATGTAGAGGAATGGCTGAGAGCCATGTCAAACTCATGGAAACCTATGGTGTTTCTTTGTGTTTGTAATGAGATCATATTTTCAAGTAGGATTTATCTTAATGATTGGCTATACATAGACTACAATGTTATGCAACTTATGCTTTAGAGGACTGCCACAGTGGAAATCATTTTCATCAAAATCTTGTGGTGCTGGGCATGGGGGTGCACACCTCTAATCCCAGCATTCAGAAGGCTGAGACAGGGTGATAGCTCTGAGTTTAAGACCAGTCTGGGTTACATAGTGAGTTCAAGGCCAGCCTGAACAATTACAAAGCAAGATTCTATCTCAAAACAAAACAAGAAACCAAAAAACAAATAAACACAGAAAAAAACCTGGTGGTATTCATAGCAAATACATGTCTAGAAACATAGTACATGTGCCTTGGCTTGCTAATGAGGCCATTCCATTGACTACATCTTCCTTAATTACAGTTACTAAAGCACAAGCGGTTGTTTACTGCACATGCTCAATATATCCAGAAGAAAATGAAGCTGTTATTAAGAAAGTGTTACAATTTCAAGATCCTGGGGTTAAAGTACAACCTTACAGGTAAGAAAAGGGTTCTAAACAACTCAAACATCTTTAAAAATGGAAACTATGGCTTTCTAAGTAGCATAGTCCTTTCTTTAATTTGATCAAGTAGCCTAATCTCTCTCTCTCTCTCTCTCTCTCTCTCTCTCTCTCTC